ACACACACACACACACACACACACACACACACACACACACACACACAAAAAAAGGCTTCTGAGAGGCATATTCAAATCTGTAATAGATGAGTTAAGTACAAGTATTACTTCAGACCTCAGTTTTGAATCAAGATACTTTAAATGATACAATTATTTTATAATTTCATAAAAGGCAGGAGGGCAGGTAAGAAACCAAGAGATGAGAGGAGCTCTTCAGCATTTTTAAATGTGCAGAGGATGAGGCGTCTTTGAGCTAACTTACTACTATTTGTTTTTATCTAAATTGAATCAACACCATTGTGTGATGTGATGTTGCCTCTCTGTAGAGGACCTCGACCACAGCGCACCTTGTGAACACTAGAGAGCAGCATCGACACAGATTAGACTCTACAGTGTTCCTCCTGAAGCAACTATTTAAAGCTCAAACTGAAAACACTCAACAAAAAAAGGTTTCAGGTTGTGGAACTTCAAAGCCATTTACTTGAGAAAACCTACATGACAACGGGACACTTCTGACCCCAGATGCACTTGGTGGTGTACTCGGCCTTCACGTAGGTGGACACTCCGTCCTGCATGGTGCACGAGATGTTCTTCTGGACCACGAAGGCGCAGTGGTTTCTGTGGGGACGGAAGAGGAACATTAGAGTTAAAACAAGCACCGATGCATCAACAATACAACACTGTAAAATGAAGAATTTGTCATTTGTTCTCTCTATAATCAAAAGAAATAGTTTCTCAAATGACAGTTTATCATATTTAGTAATACTTCCTGCAGCCGATATATCTCCGAAACAATCCAGAAGATAAATGTGTGTTTTTGATTCTGGGATGAACTGTCCCTTTAAATCTTCTGCTGCTCCTCCAGCTGGGTGATGATGAGATTACGTGGTCCTGACAAATATGGAATTCAAATATGAAGCGTTCTTGAGCTCCGTCTGTGTGGAAGCTTCACTGTACTGTGAACGGGTTTGATTATTGTGTCTCTCCTCTATTCTCTTGTAAGCGGGGCTTTGTTTTTGTTGTAGTGCATTTTTAATTTTAGTTAATATGCCCAATTTAAAGATACACAAACATAAAGAAATAATATCACAGAGCAGGAAAAGACAGAAGACACACCTAAATAATGTTAGAATGTCACAATATTATAGAGAACACATTAATATTCATAACACATGACTACGTAATATTGATGACAAAGTACTTAAACAAGATATAGGATATATAATAATAATAACACAAGTAATAACATACTGTAGTTTAACTGCCTGTATTGCTGCTTTTACTTTCTTTTTGTTATAATAAGCCTTATATTAATACTTAATATATAATAAGTAACACTGATTTTATATAATAATGAATAAGCACTTCTATCTAATGTAGCAATACAGCTTTAATAATATTTATTTCAAATTGCAGTTTTGGTTTGCAACGAGATGTTACAAGCTCTGAAGGGTTATTCGTGGAGGAGCTTTCCTGTATATTGCATTATGGGTAACTTAAAAGTGTGATTTAAGTGTTTAATATAAATGGTTCCTTCTGGCATTAATCAGAATAATGAAAGAGCTTCACTCGGACAGATTGTTTCCTTCCAGGCCAAAAAACAACAGTTCAAGAACTGGTTTCTTTTGGACGAGCTCGTTGAGCTGAAATCATATTAAGAAGACAAGAAACAAGAAACAAGAAACATCGCTGACAGTTTTCTGGACCTTGGCGGTGTTTCACACACACCTCAATGTAACTACTTGGAACAGTTGTTGCATCGTGCTGGAGCTGGACCTTCTCTCTCTTCTTCTCTCTCTCCATTGCCAGCGCAGCTACAGCAACAGCTCAATGTTCCTCATGTGCAGCACAGGAAGCGATGATCTGATCTGCGCTCATCAGACTCGCATGTGAAGCATTTCTCACATTCAGCAGGGAGCATTCAGCAACACATGCGGCACTTAATGTGGCTCCACAGCTGTTTCAGGACAAATAGAAGAGTCTGGAGGAGCAGGGAGGGACTCTGGAGAGGGAGGGAGGGGGGGTCTACATGCCAAGTTAACGGGTTCAGAGGGCTAACAAGCCGCCTGTCAGAATCTGTGAGAAACCGCTGCATCGCTGCTGCTTCGTACAAACCGCTGACTGTGCTGACAGCGTTTGTGTGTGTGTCACTCTCCCCGTGTTGACATATGTTAATAGAGGTGAAAGGGGGTAAATGGGGGGGGGCAGGAGTCAGAATGACAGAGCTCCCTTTCATACCAGCCTGACAACCTGCTGCCAGGTCGTGCTCTGTAAGGAAGTGGTGGTTAAGACCTGAACTGATGTGGTGTGCTGGGACTTCTTAAACTCTCACACCAGGAATTTTAACTTGCTGCTGCAGATGATTTCTGGTTGGGAAGAGTGGTTTTTTGATGTGTAGCTTCGGCTCGTTCACATCGTGCATGTTTGGAATGGACCGGTCCCTTGGTCTCCTACATATGGACCCTTTTTACAGCTAAGGTCATGATGACGTCACGGTGTTAGCTGGAGGCCAAAGCAAAGGAAAAGACTGGAGGCTGAACACGAATCACCTCAGAGTAGTGGACGAAAGTTACACGTCCAGAACGTCATCTTACTGCGATGTTGGCTGCCAGAATCAATGCAGACATTTGAGAAGATGAACTGTGATTCAAGGCTCGAGCGAGCTACAATATCGCTGGAGCTTCTGTTAAACCTCAAAGCTGCTGTGCCGCTTAATTATTGGAGAACTGGAGCACTGTTACAACGCTGCTAACAATTAGCTTTTTTAAATTGTTTGCCACCACCACCACCACCACCAAGACCAGGCTCTTTTCTTTTACGATCCCTGAGGTGGGTAACCGAACACTGATCGCTCCCTCTGCTGCTCACAGAATACACACAGAGCCTCTGGCACCAAAATAACTGATTCATTTATTTAACATGTGAAAAAACACATTTGCACAAGCTCACATTCACGTGGTGATGGTTGCAGAGACAATACTGTCATCCAGAGAATATCATCACTTAAGTGAGCGGGTTTGAGTATTAAATTGTAAAACAAATCTGCAACACAAAGCTTACGAATTAGTTTTTCGTGCATGTGAGAGTTTAGGAAATAGCTTTCATACAAGGATTTATGACGTGATGGAGAGCAGGTCTGTGTTTACAGTACAGGAAGTGTGCGCTTCTCACATTACACATCAGTGGAGTGAAAAGTGACCATGTTCACAGATTTCTTCTTTGTCAGGTGCACATCTGGGGGGGAGCCAATGACCTTAAGACTCACTCACAATGCCCGACAAGTGCATGAATCCAGATGTACGTCGGGTGAAAATGAAAAATAAAAAAGGTTCTCTTGGTTTCTGTGTCTGCTCTTTGCCTGTTTTCACAAATCTGTCAATGTCATTTGGGTCCGTGAGTGATATTTGATCCTCGGGGTCTCACAGACAGAGAAGGTTTCTGGCATCTGTGAGAATCAAACAGATAAATCCCGTCTCCGCTGCGCCGCGGTGTCGGCTGCAGGTCACCTTCTCTGCTGTGTAAAAACAGCTCTTTACAGGACGAATGTTGAGTTTCAACTTGAGAGACAGTGATAGTGTGAGCCGACACCCTCTCTCTCACACACACACACACACACACACAGACACACACACACACACACACACATGTGCACATATTAAAACACATGCAACGGAGCTCTTAGTGCTTTTTTATCTTCCATCCACAGGGACCACACAGCTCTGTGGGATGATTGCACGAGATTTATCCACAGAAATACGAACCCTGTGGTGTGCAAGTGGTCGGCGTTGCAGGTTAGGCGATAACTTTGTTGTGTCTGTGTGTGTGTGTGTGTCTGTGTGTAAGCATAACTCCGGACACTTCGGGGAGTAAAAAAATAGGATGAGAAATCCTGATCCAGCATGATGTGAGATCAGAGGAAGAGGACGGAGAGGAGGAGAGAGAGAGAGGAGTGCCGGTGCTATTCTCACACCTCCTCCCTCAGCCTGTGTGGCACGAGGAGACGAGGTTTTATAGAGTATAAATACTTTGTGATGTTCCTTTTAGCTCTCGTTGGTGACAGACGGGAGCGGTTGGCCACACAGGACGACCCAGCGGGGGCCAGACAGTAAAAGTCACTTCAACTTTATTTACGACGTACATTTAAAAAGCAACTAGCAACGGGCAACGCACCAGACAACTGCAATTTTTAAGATGAGCAGAACTGAAAAGAGTTGTCGTTACACTCTGTTTGCATCCTCAGTCTGACGTCACCTCCGCTCTAATCGAGGGTGAAGGGATTTGTTTTCTGACAGGTGATTGGTCGTCATTACAACATAGTTGGTGCCGGTGTTTTTCAGAGTGGAAGCGGAGCGTGTTTTTAAAAACGAGAAAGCATGAACATGACTATCCTGCGATGTCGGGGCGATATAAACTATTATTCGTCAGCCAGAACGCCAAAGAGAGGCCACGGAGTGAATGGTTCAGAGATGTCGGGGCGATTCTCTCATGTAGACCCGGTATCTCTTCTGGGAGGATTTGTGTAAATGTATTAGATTAATTTAATTAGACAGTTATTTTGGAGAAAGCCAAGGACAAGAAGGAAAAAGAGGTCGAAGATAATCAGTAGATATTGTTTGGGGTTTTTTGGTTGTGTTTTGTTTGTTTGTTCTTATTTTATGTTCTCTGTTTTGTTATTTCCACATGCTTTGTATATGCAAGACCTAAAACATATGGTGTAATCCCGAGGTTTTCCCTTCGCAGCACAGTTTCACATCTTCTAGCTCTCTGCAGGGAGGCCTTCCTCTCCTCCTCCCAGGCTTGGACTTCACCGTCTTCATCACGCTGTTTTCGGACAGTCTCTCGTAGGTCATCTATTTCAGAGGGAAGGTGATCTATTTGGCTACAGACGACAATGCTGGACTGCAGCCCCCTGCTGCTGCATAGAGCGCTGCGTGTCTAGATGCATAATTGCACGGTGATATTGTAGAGCTTGTTCTGTTGAACTGGTCAAAGAGTTAACAGCTGAACTATTCATTAGCAAAGGCCTGATGAGCCTTTAAATTAAAGAAAAGCATCGGGTCAGAAGTCCTGAGAGAACTACAAAAGATATACTCGGAGAGGTGTAAGAAGTCGGCAACATGCGTAATAAATCCTAAAAAGAGTTATGGCCTTTGCACACAGGAGGCGTGAGGAATAGAAAACATGAAAATGTGAAATACTCGGCTGGTGCTCTGTGCTAAATGCTAATGTCAACATGCTAACATGCTCACAATGACGTTGTTAAAATGCCGACCGTACATGTGTGTTAGCATGCTAATATTCGCTAATCATTGCTAAACGCAGCCGAGGCTGATGGGAATTTTGTTAGTTTTGCGGATATCTGGCAATAAACCAAAGTGTTGGAAACATGTCAACTTTGACCAGATGATGGTGCTCAATGAAATATCAGGGGATCACCATTTTGTTTTTCCAGAGGGGGACATTAATGTGTGTCGCAAATGTGTCATGACAATCCGTCCAAATGTTGGTCGGGTGGTGGACCAAAAAACAACAACCGACAGTCGTCCGTAGAGAGACGTGGCTATCACGGCTAAAAGTAGGCTTTCTTTGACTGAACTTACCAACTTCATCTATCTAAT